GGCACTCTATTGTTATTAAATAGATTATAGAGCTTGAATTGTTTGTTTGCGCAGAGTAGGAAGAAAAACGTGTATTAGTTGACTATTTCTGTATTCTGTCCTTACAACTTTCTGGAAGTGTAAGATCATATTTGTAAGAGATAGGTGATTTGGAGGTTCTGTCTTTAGCTAACTTTTACCCTACGTCCCTACCTTGTATGCTCTTTGCCAAGCTTAGCAGTCAGCTACCAAAGCCGTGTCTGATAGTTTCTTGCAGTGCTGAATTCCCATTTCTGGGAGGAAATTATAAGAGAATGGAAATTCAGGATTGTTTGTTGCCTCTTTCTTATTTCTTCTTTAGATGGTATCATACTATTTTTATGGAATCAGAACTCTATATGTTGATGCCTCAGGCTCTGAGATACATTCACTTGTTTTATCTGAAAGCTCTTGCAACAAAGGATTCAAGGGCCTATATCGGTGTTCTCCTAAATTGGATGTGGAGGTTTAAAACTCCAATGAAGTTCCAATTCTTTGCGAGAGTTGTTTCTTAGGAGGCTGAATTCTATTAATAAATTTCAGAGAATGCACCCTTTCTTCTATCTCTATTATCATTTGTGCGTCCTTCGAGAGAAGGCAACTGTAAACTTGGACCATGTTTTTGTGCACTGCCCTCTCGTGAGGAAGTTGTGGGAGAATTTTTAGGAGATGCTTAGACTTTCTTGGGAGCCCTTCCTTTGGTTGAAAAAAATTCAGATGATATGAGGTCCTTTGTTTTTTGTCTAAAAAAAGATGATGTACAAGTCTCACCTTATGGGTGGTTTGGGACGTAGAACTTGAGGATATAGTGTGAGGCTTCAAATAAGGTCGGAGATAGAGTTATTGTTTTGCAGCAGTTATTCTTTTTAACACCCAACAGAGTTCTATAATTTATCAATAATTTTGTAATCCACCAGCTTATAAAGTTCTCTGTAATATTCTAGTCCCTTGGTGAGGTGGAACCCCTGTTCTTTTATCCTTATTTATACATTTTTGTAGCAATTCATCTATTTTTTCTTCCAGAAAAGGAGTAGGGAAAAGGAAAACATGAAGTCCACTTAAAAAAAAAAAAATAATGATAGCAGTGGTTCATTTATTTATGCATTTTAAAATGTTGATAAGTTAGTACCTCGAAGCTGATTTTGGTATCATGAATTTTCTAAAAATCTAAAACCTTTCGCAGACAAATTAAATAAGTTGTCAATATATTTATTTGATATGTTATTGCAGGTGATGCTTTCCTTGAAGGTTTATTGGTAAATGGCTGGCTGTCAACACTTGTTTCTTTGACAGGTCGTGTAGAAAAACCAATTGCCATATGGACCTTCAATTTAAGTGAGTACATCTATAATTCCAGTCTTGTTCATGGAACTCTTTACATTAGCCTTAATTCTTTTTTATGCGTTTATTTTCATATTTCAGTGTTATATTCATCAAGAGAAGAGCTAAGAACATCAGCTTTTGATTTCTGGAGGGATATCATGTTACCTAAACATGAGGTTTCTGTTTTTTCTTTGACCACATGTTTCTTTTTATTTCTTCAACGTTTATTAATTTTTCTTAAGGCTTATCTAGAATTCTTAACTAGGTTGAACAACAGCCTCTCCAAATTGATTGGTTTCCTAACCATGCTCAATTAGGAGAAGCTCTTGAGACTTATGGATTTAGATTTGAGTGCTCATTAAATCCTGGATTTGTCCACGCTGGTAAACTTCCTTGACATCAAACTACACATTCATGAGAAAATATATGCTATACTATGAAGGGTGATTTGTTCGCTGAAGGTTATTTGATTTTTAGATACGCAAACTCAAGGTTTCGCACAAGATTTAATTCTTCCTCTATAATATGAAATCATCATAAAGTGCTGTCTCTTTAAGCACGTAGCACGTGGCATGTGTTAAAAAATCTTTGGAAATTGGAATGATAAGGCCTTTTTGGGTTTCTGATGTATGACTTTCATTTTGCTGCATTGATATTGTGTTTTAATTTACATTATGAAAACATTTTGTTAGTATGATTTTTAATTGGAGATAAGAGATTGCCTTAGCTTTGAACTTTCAATTTCACCAGATTGGACTCTAAACTAGAATAAGTAGTACAATTAATACCTCCTCATTCCTCAAAAGAATATAAGTTGTTTCTAAACTAACTAATAAATCACTCAAATGCTCAAAATTAAGCCATAAAAATACCTAAATCCAACCACACAAATATTCAAATCTTGCCTCAAAATCCTGCCAGGTTAAAAATGCTCAAACTCAATGCTGAAAATGTCCAAATCTAATTAAAAAGCACAAACACACCCTGAACAATCAATATCCACAAAAATAACCTCATCCAAGTACAATGATGCTCTTACATCACAGTTCTTTAAAATAAATAAAATTCAACTATTAGAGAGTATTAATTTCACTTAAGTTCTATGAATAAAAATTTTAAGACAAAATTTGGCTCACGATCTCAAAATGAACTTGTTCCTTCTTTGTATCAACCAATATTCATAATGGGTTTATTGGTTTAAATCATGAATGTTAATCCATTTGATTCACCACTACTATGCATTGACTTAGATGCAGCACCACATGGATGACAGCATCCAAATTTCTGAGTTGGGCTACAGAGGGGTGGATAGTAAATTATAGAGATTGATTATCCTTTTCAGTGATATCAGAGTAACTATGATCTGAAGTTTTTATAGAGTTCCTAATTTCTCCTACTCAATCTGTATCCAGTTTTTCCGACCACCAGCATACTCCTTGCCCTGTGTAAATCCTTGTTACTCATCATGACCTCAGCGTCCACGCCTCAACTGCATAACATCCTTGCATTCCTCATTTACCCTTTCCCTATTATTGTGTGAGTACATTTATGTAAGGTATCCCCTTACTTTTATTGATATTCAAGAACAAGAACAATATAATCAACCCAACCAATTTGAGAGGGCCCAAGTCTCCAAGAAAGCACTATGCTATTCTTCCTTACTAAGAAATTACCTACCTCCCCCAAGGGAGCATTCTCCCTTTTAACAAAACTACTCCATACGCCCAAATTGGGAGACGGAGTCCATTTATAAGGAGCTAATGCCCCATTACCTACCTCCCCCAAGGGAACATTCTCCCCTTTAACAAAACTATTCCATACGCCCAAATGGGCCCCACTCTTCTAACTAACTGGAAGTACCCCTTCTACCCCTCCTAGTATATGTCTTCACCACTGGGGTCTAACAACTTATGCTCGAGGGCCTATTGGATACCTTGTCCCAATGAAGTAACCTTATCCTCAAGGTGAGGTTTGGAAACTGAGTTTGTAAATCCTTAATAAGCTTCCATCATTTGAAGGCTAGCTGGGTTCGACTTATTTGATCAATTAGTCTACCTTAAAATTTTTTTATGATTGATACCTGATTCTAGTTAAAAGATGAAAAAAACAAGGGCTTCTTTCAAGACATTGCTCAAAAATAAACAAGGGCTTCTTTGGAACTTAGATATTAAATTAAAGAAACAAGGGCTTCTTTTAAGACATTGTTAAAAATTAAATACAATAAAGCTAGTTTCTTCTCATCCAAGAAAAGGGAAAAAAAAGAAGGCTTAAAATCATATGCAAGGTGAAGTGCCAGGGAGGGGTCATACTCAAGGGGTGCTTTTGTTCAATGCTTGATAATAAAAGTTATTTTTTATTGAAAATTGACTCTTGCGAAAATTGATGTTAAATTTTCGGAGCTCAAGAAACTCCATGAATTAATGTTTTGCTTATGAGTTCTGACCGTATGCACTCCAATGTTATGTGCTTGGAAAATGAGAAATTACTACTTTCTGAAATTAATTAGGGACTATGCTTATGAGAACAAGTCTTTCCATTCATTTGTTATTTTATGTATTTTGTTTTTTATTCCGCTTGTGTATGAGTTACTATATTTTAGAATTGTCATATAAAGTCTGACTTCAATAGCCATGTAGAAACCCCCCAAGCCCTTGCCATTTGAGTTAGTTGCTTTACTCTTTCTTACACAAGTTATGGAATATTGTTAGGTTCTGGACGTGGAGGGCCACCTCAGAATATAAGGGCTTGGATCAAATTTATTACTATTTGTTGTCAAACAAAGTAAGAAGTCCTTTTTTCTTTTCTTTTGAAAAATGTTTGTGAGTTTAACTCTTTTGCCTTTGGCATTCGCTAATGTTTTCAATCTTGAAACTTAATGTGGCTACTGTAAAAGTAATTTTCTTCTCAACATATGATTTTACTTGCACAATACCAATAAAAAAACAAGTGTGGCTTCATGTTTTGTTTTTTTTTTTTTAAATCTTTGCAGGATTAAAAAGCATATATTTACATTCTCCGAAGTTGAGCAACTAGCTGAAGCCATTATTTGTTTATTTCTAGACCGCCAGTTTCAAGGCTTATCCATGCTCTTATGTGAATGCTTACAATCGCTTATCCATTACTTCACAGATGAAGAATGGAAGGCATGTTGTGAGAAAATAGCAAAATCTCTTGTTTGCAGGTATTGGACTCTCCCTAGTGATGTAAAGTGTATACATTATATAAATTAAAGGTGTAAGTAATTCGGTTCAGTATTTTTATTTTTATTTTTTTTGTTAAAACTGACATTGATTTTAAATGACCAAACTAATAAAATCTATCTAATCCAAACTGACTGTTTTCTAATTTTATACTTCAGAAAACTGAACTAACTGGCAAGTATAATTAAAAAAACTGAACTGAGTGACTTGGTTCTTTTAGTTTCGTCGATTTTATTTTATTTAATTAATTAATTAATTTTTTTTCTTAATTTTGGCTTGCACCCAACACCACTGATACAAATGTGATTAAACATATTTACAATCAATCATATCATGACTACTTTTTTTTTTTCCTGCCTCTGCTCTGCTATTGCAGGATTCCTAGGGATCTAAATTGCTTGCGAGCTGTGGAATGCATTTCTGGAGCTGATGCCCGTAGTAAATATCTGAGGAGTGCAGTTGCCTATCAAATTCTTCTTATGTGCTTTGAAACTGAGGTGGTCCTTTCCTTTTTTTTCGTTGGCTAAATATTCAGAGTTTTCTTTTGAAGCATAGCTTTGTTTACTGCTCCATAACACTCATCTTTCCTGCAAGATTATGTGTATCACATGCATATCATTTTCATATATGCTTGTTGAAATTTTTTAAGACAGTAGATTATTATCATATCCCATTTACAATATTCTGGTATGTTGTTTGAGGTGTCCTTCTATTCTGGAGAGGAATCATAGATTGTTCGGGGGATGGAGAAATCTGTAGATTATGTTTGGGATATCGTTAGATTTAACACTTCTTTATGGGGCTCGGTTTCTAAGCCCATTTGTAATTATTCGCTAGGCCTTATTCTTTTGGATTGGAGTCCTTTTCTACAGGGGATCTCCTCTTTCAGGGCTGTTTTTTTTTATGCCCTTTTGTAGGCTTTTTTGTAGCTTTTTTTTTGGATGCCCTTTTGTAGGCTTTTTGTAGCTCTGGTATCTTTTTCATTATCCTCATAAAAAAAACCCCTTCGAAGGGTTTTTCGTGTAGCTCCTATTTCCATATCTTGAACTCCCCGTCTCCTTCTTCCCCTTCGACCCCTTGATTTACCTCTCTTTGAAAGATTAAAATTCCGAAGAAGATCAAGTTCTTTGGGTGGCAAGTCTTACTTGGGAAAGTCAATACCATGGATTATATCCAGAGGATGTCTTCCTTTTGTCTGGGCCCGCTTTGGTGTGTTCTCTGTAGGAGTGCCTCGGTAGATCTCGACCATTTGTTGTGGACTTGTCAGTTCCCGCAGGATTTATGGTTTCATTTCTTTAGGTGTTTTGGGATGACCTGGGTTTGTACAAGGGATTGTAGGGCGATGATGAAGGATTTGCTGTTATTCCCACCTTTTCGTGACAGGCGTCGTTTTTTGTGGCAGACTTGTTTTCTAGCTATTTTATGGGGTATTTTCTAGCTATTTTATGGGGTATTTGGTTGGATAGGAATAATAGACTGTTTAGGGGATGGAGAAATCTGTGGACTATGTGTGGGAACTCATTAGATTTAATTCTTCGCTTTGGGGCTCGGTTTATAAGGCCTTTTGTAATTATCCGTTAGGCATCATTCTTTTGGATTGGAGCCATTTTCTTTAGAAGATTCCTCTTTCAAGGTTGTCTTTTTGTAGGCCCTTTTTGTTCGTCTTGTATCTCTTTTCATTTTTCTCAATGAAAGCGTAGTTTCTTACGAAAAAAGAACAATAGCATGACTATTTGTATCACAGTCAAGGTTAGGTTGAAAGTGCATATGTTAATCTTGGAACAAATGTCAATTAGCCCGCTATTTATTTTTTGGTTCATACTTTTATTTTGTCTCAAATGTGGTTTAAATTTTATTTTTGTCTTTAAACTTTTTGTCTCTCAACTTCAAAGGTTATATTTTGGTTCCTTCACACATTTATTTTGTTCGAGTCTCTCAACTTTTAAATGTTACGTTTTAGTTTCTCAACTTTTATACTTCTGTTTTGTTTTAGCCTCACATCATGTTATGTTTTAATTCCTCAACTTTCTAATGATATGTTTGGCTCTAAACATTGCATAAAATTTTTTGTTAATCCTTACCTCAAATTTTCATCAATCATTTAACAAGAATTTAAGTTTGTTCCAAAACCTGATATTTAACCTACTATATATGGTTTTAAATATTTATCTATGTATACATTTATTGATCAGACAAAGAAACAAAAGATGTATCTATGATTCTACATTAAGTTTCTTTGAAATAATTTATAAAAGGCTTAAAGTTCAAGAACTGAATGAAATAATTATGAAAGTTGAGAGAATCAATATTATGTAAATCAACACAACAACCTTCTAACTTCACATTATCTTTCAGGCTACTAATGAGGAAGGGGTTTTGAGATTACTCACCTCAATCACAGTTAAAGACAAAAGCTGCGACCTATTTAAGCTGTATATTTACTTGGTGTTGACGGAGAACTGGCTTGTCGGTAGTCGAACGTTAGAAGGCAAGCCGCTAATTTGTGAAATGTGGGGTCTGTTTCTCAGAAACTGCTCCTGCCAAATCACCAGTACAGATTTGAGGTCCTACGCATCAAAGGTGTGAAAAACTCTTCACAATCTTTAACTTAGATTGATAATCCATCACTTGAGGGTGATGTTTCTCAAATCAAAACTCTCTCTCGTCACACTTTCAGGTTCGTAACAAAGCTTCATATATCCTGCAAAGCTCTTTTAACGAATAGATTTTGATGGGTACGTCTTCTGACTCCGAGCATCATCCCTCTATACTTGCCTCAGATGATTATCGCTCGCTGACATGAACAACTGAAAACTAAAGAACAGGTCTAATTAATCGATTTTGTATAGCCTACAGGTGCTCTTTTTGATCCACTCGATTGTTAAAATATCCATTTCATCAAGTTACTGAGTTAATTTTCTTGGAGTAGATAATTAGTAGTACTAAAAGGATGAATGAATGTCGTTGATTATTTGGTAAGAATTATGGTAGAGAAGTTTATGAATGTCGGACTGATTTTACCAAAGATAGGCAAAATACGAATTCCTAATCCCAACCATTTATGCTATGGAGAGACCGTATCATTCTGTGCAAAAGTCATTTATAAATCAAAGATTGGAAAGGATATTATTTGAATGTTATTGCAGGTACGTGTAAGAAGTTCGTATTTGACTTGGCTTTTATATTGTGGAAGAATTTTTGAACCTATAAAAAATTTGATATGATACTTGCAGAGTTATCCAAATCATAAAGTTTATTTTATATGATACATTGTCGCTTCCTATTTTATTAAGTAAAATCTTTATTTTATTTTATAAAGATCAAAATACTCCCATCCCGTCGTCTTTGTATTAAATTACATTTTTAGCCATATGTTTTATCTTTAATTTCAATTTGGTTCTTACGATTTTTGAACTTTTGCATTTGGATAGCAATTTACAATGTCTTTACTATCGGTAAATTGCAATAAAAATTCAACGGTGCTAAATTATATCTGAATTTTTAAAATGTCCACCTCGACGTGGCATTTTGTTTTAGTAACTTTGGGCTGTGGAAAATCATATTAAGCGGAAAAACATGCTTTTTTTCTTCATGAAAAAAATGAATTTGAGTTGTTTTTTTGATAAAGGAAAAAACAAGATAACTGTGTAATGTAGTTTTAGAGTGTAACAGATAATATCATGAGTTTACACTAAATTTTTGAGTAAAAAAAATAATATGTAAATAGAGGATTGGTAACTTCTCTTTCAAAGATTAGATGTTCAAATCTCTTGAATTTCATTCATCGTGTGCCCTTTTATTTGACCTTCTATTCATATAAAAGAATAATATTTACTAACTCTTGGTTTATCAGCATGAATTTCATGTTGACTAGGAAAGTATGCACAGAGGGGAGAGAGAATAAAATTGTTTTTATTTGATTTAAAAACTAATATATGGCTCTAAATTTTTTAGAAACTTATTTGAAGGGAAGTATTGTTCAATTACATGTTTAGTAAAGGAGAGACAAAAGTTGGGCAGATCACTATGTTTTAGATATAATTACGTTTGGGGTGAAATCTTCATGGCCCGAGGAAACTTTTACATATCTTTGTTACTTTTTGGGAGTTTATGAATATATTGATAAGATTATATTGAAGTGAATATTTTTATAAAAATTCATAAAAATTATTTAAATTAATAAATAAATAATTTACCATTTTTAAACGAAAATTTTGTTATTAATTATAGGTATATTAATGATATTTTCTAACTTAGTTGATTTTTTACGATATAATAAAAATAAAGATTCACCTATGTTCATCATATTAAAATATTGATGTGTGGATGAAAATTTAAGACTATTATATTTAATTTCTAAAAATATTTGTTGAATTGATTAAGATATCTTTTTCTATTAAAGCGAACATATGTCAGTAGTAATTAACATACATCTTTCATGATTTGTGAGTTGGATCATCTATCAAAGGACAGACCTCTTTCCAATAAAAAAAAACGAGTGAATTCGAATGTTGGCCCGGAGTGGTAAATTTGAAGTTAAACGCAAAACGGACGAAAAATAGTACTCAGTAATCAGTATTCCTGTGGATATCATTACGTGTGGTAAAGATAAGATTGCAGAAGCAACAGCGCTATAAAGAAGAAAAAACTGCGAATTGTGGGAGGCGTTTTTGTGTAAAATGGCGTCTCTAACAACCGCTCTGTCATGGAGTTCTTCCGTGGTGGATATGGGTCTTCCGAATATTGGTGGGAACTTCGAAGAAACTGCCAAGTTCTCTTATGGAAGGTCTGCCATGGTGGTTGTGGCCCAGAAGAAAGCTACCAAGTCCCGCAAGGTGATTCTCGAAAATGGGTTTTCAAATTCCTTTCTAAATTCTTTCTTTCTCTGGAAATTAATTGGCAAATTGGTTGCAATTGTAATTGGGGCAGATAATTCTGAAGGAGGATGTGGCGGACCTGGGAAAGAAAGGGCAACTTATTGATGTGAAGGCAGGGTACTACAGAAACTATCTGTTCCCTTTGGGCAAGGCCCAGATTGTTACTCCAGTTCTGCTCAAGTAATGTGTTACACAACCCGCTTACTTTATTGATACCTTATGTTTTTGTCCATAATGTCTGTCTCAAAATTGTGCAATTTCAAATGGTCTTGTTGATTCCTAACATGGGATTTTGGAAGCTTTTATAATTTCAACATCTTAGCTGCCAAAGTATCAATTACATGTTTATAATCAGGAAGGAACTGTAAATGTAAATACATATAGTTGTTTGTTAGTTGCTGAGTGGTCATTGATTAGTTTCTGTTAGCTAATTTTTTTTAGCTGGTTAATGGAGTGAGTAATGAATAAATACTCTGCTGTATCTAGTCAATTTAACGAGAATGGCAATGTATTCTGGTAAAAGACTGGAAGTTTCATGGTACCAGGCTCTGGCTGATGGGTTTCCTCTCTCTGCTTCCCTCCACCACCCCTGTGATTTCATCCTCAAATAATGCACCTTTCTTTCTCGTGTCTAATATCTGCAATATGATCCCTAAATTTCACATTTTATTAGTCTTTCTGAGAGTATGAGACTAACAAAGTACAATGCCAAATATATATGAACTTGAACCATTCTTACCCAATGTAGACATCCTCCATCTCAACTAACTGATAGGGCTGCAACATCTAATTAGTCCTTTGTGCACGGATCTCAAACAATTCCAATTTGGCTCTCTCAACTTTTAATACAACATGCATCTAACTTATTATTTTGAATAAAATGGAGAGGATGAGGTTTCGAATGGGAATGGATAGGCCTCAACCAATGCCACTCTAGTATTGGGAATGTGCACACTTTTCATACCTTCTCTCTTTAAATGTGCTTTGGAAGTCCAAGCATTGCTTCCAATCTTTTGTCTATCCATCAATTTTTCATTGATAATAATTGTTGCCTGATCTTTTACTCAGTTACTTCTGTATCCAATACAAGCTTTTGGGAAGAATCATATGTCAAGCACAAAGTATCAATGGTCCTTACCTGTTCACCTCGCTGAATAGTTTCATTATGGTTAGCTTAGTAACAGAATAAATCTTTAGTTGCTCAACTTGGAGGTATCTATCTAGTATTCTGTGGCTTGGTAGGTGTCTGTTTCTTCTGGTCTTATAACTTCACAATCTTGATGGAGTTGTTGATGATGATTGGTCTACAACTTGTTAATATGGTTCCATCCCCAATTCACCATCTCCAACAAAGCAGACAACAGTATCCCGATGCTTTACAGAAACTGAGTACCATATTTTAGTCTCAATGTAGGCCGAGTTGTCTTGGATTTGGCTGCTTCTCATGAACTTGTATGCATATCACTCATCCTCTCCTGTTATTTGGCGTGACAATATTTCATCTGTTCAGCTTGCTTGAAATCTAGTATTTCATGGTTGAGCAAAATATGTGAAATTTAACTTTCGCTTATTCACAAAAGGATTGTGTGAAAAACATGGTTTTGAGTTCCATTTTCACTACATATCAGAGAGGTGTTATGCTTATGGAGCCCCTTAGAACCAATTGTCTTATTTTAGGTCTAAGAACTCGTGCCTTGTTAGGCTATTCAATTTGAGAGAGGCTGCAAATAAATTTAAATATTAGTTAGTTGCTGAGTGGTTATCGTTATTCATTGGTTGATTCTAACTTGGTTGAGCTGGTTATTGAAATCTGATGTGTGTCGACACTCTGCTGTATATACCCAATTTAATTAGAATGGGAATAACACTTTCAAAAAAGTATGAAAATTTCAAACATAATAGCTCGATGGATTATATCAAGAAATATGAATAGGTTAACATTAAACAGTGATAGGATTGCTATTAGGATAAGTTGGGGATATTATTAGAGTATTGAGGGTATATTAGTAATTAGGTTAGGGGGTTTGGTATATAAATATGGCGAGGGAGTAAGTATGAAGGTAAGCACTTGGTTAGTATGGTTTAGGCTTAAGTAAAAATACTCCAGAGGGGTGAGGGTCGAAGTAACTTTTGAAGTTATTGTAGTTCTTATATCTTTTATATTTCAATATATTTCTAGTTCGGGTTCTATCAAACTATAACCTGAAGTTAGTTATCGATAAAAAATGTTGTTTAATGCAGATTCATTAATTCTCTTGGTATGGATCTATAATTATCTCAGGGAAATGCGGATGGAGGAGGAAAGAATTGAGGCTGAGAAGAAACGGGTAACTTGTCCTTTCCACTTGTTTCTTGAATGGAGGTTCATATTTTCTCTCATTGATAAAATTTTTTTTAATCAGTCACAAGTATTATAGGGCCAGAAATGATCTTAGGGTATCTTAAGTCGCTGTTTCACTCAAATGATTCTTGTTATAAGCATTAACGACTAAGGATTAGCTTTTACTCTTTGGCACTATTTAGGCTTCTCATAGTGAGTTTTGGATGCATTTTTATCTTTTTTTTTTTAGTGAGACACTTCTTTTATAACCATTTTAGAACCGTTTTTGGAAGAAGCACTATTAAATGTTTTTTTCTTTTTCAAGTATTTTAAAATTACTTTTACAGTTTACTGGGCTAAAAGTATTTTTCACTCTTTTCAAAGTCGTCTCAAACTCATCCGCAGACGAAGACTGTGGTCACGTGGATGAAATTGTCAGAGTACTAGTAGGAATATATGAGGTTATTATTAGGATATTAGTCAGAGCGTTATGGTAATTAGTTAGGGGTGAGTTGGCTATAAATATCGGAAGTTAACTAGAAGAGAGGGAGTATTTTCTAGGAGAAACATTTGGAGAGAGATAGCCCTCTCGAAAGGCTATTGATCTTTGATATTGTAATATAGTTATTTTCTTACTTTCTTGGAATCGGGATCCATTCTGTACCCTATGCTACAAGGAACAGTTTCGAGATGCATCCTTTATCTATATCTGAAGACAAGAAAATCTTAGGCTACTTATTTTCATTTCATAGATAACTTATTATTGTCACTACTGAATTTCCAAGTGGCCATCTGCAGAGTAATTAAGTAAAATATGAGAACAAATATATATATGTTTTCATCTTGACAATCACTACCTTTTCTATGGAAGTTATTTAAATGTTAATATAATAAACTTATCAGGTAAAAGAGGAGGCACAGCAACTTGCTATGATATTTGAAACTGTTGGAGCTTTCAAGGTGAAGCGGAAAGGTGGAAAAGGAAAACAGATTTTTGGAACGTGAGTTGGATTTTAGTACTTATGAAGCAGTTTTTCGTATTTTTTTTTTCCCATTATGTCCACTCAAATGCACTTTCTTTTTTCTTTTTTATAATTTTTTGGCAGTGTTACAGCACAGGATCTTGTCGATATTATCAAGGCACAACTTCAGAGGTACTTTATTTATTTAGTTAGTTTGTGTACTCACTGTGTACAGATGGAGTTTATTGGTACATAATTAGCATAATGAGCCCTATAACTATAATATCCTACTCTTCAGACCAGAATGATTCTTCAATAATCCTCAATTCGTAGACTCTAATTATGCTGTTATTCCGCCATGTTTAATAGATTCCTGAACTTTACAAAAGGTATAATAACTAAAGTCCTTAAACTTTCGATTTTGTGTCTATCAGGTCTCTTCTAATAGATTTCTAATTTATTAAACATTTTCTAAAATTTAGAGACTTGAATTTCATATCTAATAGAACTCCGACCTTTCAATTTTGTGTATGATAGTTCTTTAATTTTTTTTTTATAAAAAAATGTTTAATAGGCCGTAGTCTATTAGATATAAAATTAACCGTTGAGATACTTCTTAAAGTTTAGGGACCTGTTGAACACAACATTGAAAGTAATTTAGAGACTTGTTAGACAACTTTACACATCTCCGAAAATTCAAGGAGTAAAGTTTTAATTTAACCATAAATGTTTTACCATTTTACCTTCTGTTTTAACGAGTAGAGAGTATTTCCATTGATGCTTGGCCCCCAAGGAGAGTCCAGTAGACAAAGGCTTGAGGTCTCTTGGTCATACTGGCAAACTTAATACCAAAAACCCCTAATGTCTTCCAGGTCTGGGCCTTGGGACGGGCATGATGTCCCTATATGTAGAAGAGCAAAACTCCGACTCCCAATTATCAAAAAAGAAAAACTGATGCTTGCATTTTATTTTACCCTAGTGATGATTGAAGTACTCACGTTTATGTACAGGGATGTAGACAAGAGGATTGTTTTTCTTCCAGAGATTAGGGAAACAGGAGAATATATTGCAGAGCTGAAGCTTCACCCTGAAGTTTCTGCCAGAGTGAGAGTAAATGTTTATGCAAACTGAAATTGTTTCCAGATTTTACAAGTTCATGTAGCAGCCACACCATTTTTCCAAAGGTAGTTTCTTTATAACATTTTTACTCAGTTTTTCTCAATCATATTCTCTCAAACTGCCCATTTTTTGTGGTATTTTTCCGTCGTAAACCCGCATTCCAAACATAAACATGGTTGCTTAATTTTGAGTTACACAAGCCTATTTCGTGAGGTCGGTATTTTGAATCTCAAGAGAAAGTGATGGAGAAATCAAAATGGTACCATTTTTTGTTCAAGAGATGCTGATGAATGCTCTTAAAGAACTACAGTGGAAAAGAAAATTGCTCAAATGGGCTGAATTAGAGTTCAAAATATGCTAAAGGCATTACTCATCCCTCTAGGGTCGGAGATTCAAATTCTCATGTCTCTACAAAAGAAGAATAAACAATGTTCGTTTTTAAGTTTACTAATTACAGGGGTGGAGTTGAACTATCAATCTTTGAGAGTATAATAGGTGTCTAGTTAGTTTCGTTTTATTTTATCAATGAGATATCCAATTAACTTAGCATATAATTGATATTTTATATACTAAATGGGTTTTCTTGTCAATAAAGAATAATATTTGGTTAACTTTATGGGTTCGAACCTTAGAAATTAGTAATTTTTATAAGTTTGTTGGTCTTAAATGTTGTAACGTCAAGTAGTTACCCTATGACATTAGTCAAGGTGTCGGCCTGGACACTCAGATATCAGCCTGGACACTCAGATATCAAAAAAATAAAAAGTAAAAAAATATATTTGGTTAACTCCATCACACTAATAAACATTTTGACTAACTTTATTGGTAAATTGGAAATTCATATTAGTTAATAAATTACTATGAGATTTGATGATTGATTAAAAAGTCATGTCTTTTTACGGTACAACATGTGAGGTGTGGGATCGAACTTACAATCTCGTAGTTGAAGATATGTGTCAATTACCATTGAATTATACTTGCTTTAACAAAAAGTCATGTCTTTGAAATTAGGAATTAGCATGTGACTTTAACAGCATAACTTGCTAATTTAAGCATAATTCAACTAGTTAAACGTTATATTCTCGATCAAAAGGTCAGAAATTTGAATGTCCACTCTCACATGCTAAACATAAAACTCTTTTAAAATTAAGAGTCTCGTGTGATTATTTCATGATATATTTGTTGCTTATTTGTAAATCATGGTGCTCAATCTTATGTAATTACATTGGATATGATAGTTCTACTCAAATAGCTTCATGTGAAGGATTCAAATAAGATCGTTGGTAACATTTTACATTCGCGAATAACACTCAGCATGACTAAAATTTAGAATTGAAATATATACACATACTAATTTATATATTTTGATATTAAGGTGCGTAAGTTATAAGTTTGTCCTTTTTAACTTTTAGATTTGTGTCTAATACTTTTACTAAACTTAAAAAAGTGCCAAATAAATTTCCAAACTTTTAATTTTGTGTCTACCGAGCTACTTATTCTCTGATATCATGATAAAGACATGGTTAAACCTTCATGATAGAGGATTCCTAGTTAAGAAATATGGAAAAGATTAGATAAATTTGATTTAATTAAAAGATAGAGTATTATCATAATTAAAGGGTACACTCTTATTGAGATTTTATTTCTATCTCTTTGATATCACCAGATTCTCTCTCCCTCTTATGCTCTCCAAGCTTCTCTCTAAAATCTCTCTCCACTCCCAAACAATCATAGACACAGCTTCTTTTTCTTCCTTTCCTTCATGCAAACAAAAATCAGAAGCTGATTTTTCAAAAGTTTTAGCCGAGCATAATTCAGCCGAAACTCATCTAGCCAAGGTTGAAGATCGTTTAAAAAGTTGGTTTATCCCAAAGATAGATCCAAATCAGGTATATAAAATAAATACTTTCAATTTTTCCCAACAAGATGTCATCGTCATCACAAAGGAGAACGTAGCTATGAAGGATGAATTCACTGAGATCACTCTTCTCCCTAAAGAAACCCTCTTCAAAGTAAAAAATAAATTTAAATACCTTCATATTTCATGTGTTCAAGTTGCTTTGAAACCCCTCTTCAGAGAAGGCCTAGATGTCCCAGTTTATCTCGCCCTTAGAGATAAGAGGCATCTCAGATTTACTCTTCTCTGCTAGGGATCGTTGAATCTAACTTGGTGCAAGCCCAGTCTACTTCAATTGCAAACTCGGTCTTACCGTCTCACTTCAAGATAAAAGCATTATGGACGTCCTATGTCTAGATGTTCATTCTAAAGGACTAGAAATAAAAGATGGATCCCTCCCGTATACTGTTTCATGCCGCAACTATTACAAATTGATGCATATAAATCTTTCTCCAAAAGCACTTGGCGTATCTCCAAAAGGTTACACCATGCTGATGGAAGTCATTGTTGAAAAATCTTTGATGACCATTCCAAAGACACTTCGCTGGGATGAAATTTCCAGAAACCCTATCTGGAGACTGCAAGGAGTAACATCCCCCGCTAAAAGAACTAGAACAGAGGCGTCAATCATCGAATTCCAGATGGAAACGTTGAAATACAATTTAATTCTGAGGCAAGATATCCCAAGATTAGAGAAGTCATGAGTAGCCGCCCAAGCATATCTTCAGACACAAGGTCGGTAAACTCTATCAACAAATCTTTTAAAAGATCTGAATCAATGCGAGCTCCGGTAGACTTTATCCATCCTATCCCTGAAGTTCATTATGAAGAAGCATCGCTCTCTCCTACCCAATCTGACATGGAAAGGAGAACTGAATCAACATTCAACCTAATAAACGTTATTTCAAAAATTGAAAGACGTTATGAAGAATTGTACGACAAATACATCGATATGTGGATTACCGCACCAAAAGAGACAAGGAAACCTGTCATGAGTATATGAGATTTCACCTCAAAATTACAACAAAAAGAGCTTGCTAGAAATGAAGCTCTCGTAGAGACGTTTAAAGCCCAATGAGTCATTAGAAACGGCACTGTTTGGGTCACTGCAAGGGGTAAAGAAATAGCTTCCACCTTCCCTCCCGAAGAAGAAGCTACCTTTTCTCACTCAGTCATACCGACCATAAAAATGGTGTCTTTGTCCTATAAGACGATAGATGAAGACAAAGTTCAGAAAGTTGGTGTTCGTGAAATCAAAAACATCCAACATCAACTCAATTACTCAAACAAGATTCTTTTTGAAGTTTCTAAAGCGGTTGAAAGAATTGAGAACCCGGTTCTTCCTATCATCTCTAAGAACCCAGAGATCCCACAGGTGGACCCCTGCCAGCCTATTTCTCAACCTAACAGTTTCAAGATTGGAACTCTCAAGGAAGACCCCTCCGATCTCTTACTCGAGATCAACAAAAGACTTTCTTCTTTGTCCATCAATAGAGGAGACTCTTCTAAGAAGATTAATGTTGCCAAGAGTATAAACGTAGTTGCTACAATACCTACAACAACTCAAGCCTCATCTTCAACAATTCTACCAGTAACTATGCATACGAAAATGAAAAATCATTATCCTCAATAATCTCCTCCTGATTTAGGATGGGATGATATCCGCCATGATCAACGAGCCTATGACGGAACATCAATAGTTACCTAGAATATCAACGGATATTCTAAAGCTCAAATGCTGAATACTTTTCAAGAAATGATGATGGCCGCTAGTTCTACAAACTGTCCATATCCTACTCTCAAGTCTCTCTGGAAACCTAAGAAGTTGGTGGCATAACCAACTCATAGAAGAGGATAGACAAAAAATCTTGACGGCAACTAAGACTATTGTCAAACAAGTAGGACAAAACGCCATGCAAATTGAAGAACCGGACATGGTAAATCAATTAGTTTATGCAATGACGAAGAATTTTGTTGGTAGCACTAAAATCCATACCGACCTCAGTACCGAAGCACTATTAGGACTCCGATGTCGGAAGATGAGCAACTACAAATGGTATAAAGACACATTCCTAACATGTCTTTATACTATTACGTCATGCGGAGAAGATATCTAGAAATAAAAATTTGTTGAAGGACTTCCGCATTACATTGCTCAAAGATTCTATCAAGTGGCAGCAGCAAACTCTACAACCAATCAGATCAATTGGTCAGAGTTAACCATTGGGGATATTACTGC